AACTTCAAAATCCTTTTTTCAAAGCCCTACATACTGGTTGAGTTCCGAATTTAGAATTCCGTCTATCTTATGGCCATAAGCTACATATTATGGAATGGTACATAAATCATGTATTGTTTAACACTATCCATGGGTGTCCAAGGCAGTACTACATAATCAAATATATTACTATGTCTTCATTGAAATACATGAATATTCCCACAAAATGAGAATACTCATGTGTTCAGTTTGGCTCATAATTGACAGAAAAATGAACTTTTAATTTTCAGAGATTTTGGGTCTCACAATTGTGGCTAAAGGATTATCATCAAAGGACCTGTATATCATTGTGCCATTATTTCATGTTTCACTATCTAGGTCTCACTTCATTAAAATGGCTCTTCGCTATTCTGTCTCCAGTAAAGCATATCCAGCACATAGCGGATATTCAGTAAATATTTTATGAATGAATAAATGAAAGAACTAAGCCTCACACTAGGTTTAGCTAGTCAAGGAAGAAGACTCTGTTCTTTGTAGCAGACATTCCCAGCACCAAAGCCAGTGAGTGCCTTATACATGGTGAAAACAATAACTATTGGTTGAGTTGAATCAAATTTCTCAAATCTCTCGCAGAGTACCTAGGATGGTAAGGACCCAAGTAACACTTCATGATCCCAATATCGCTGACTTAAAAAATCAGATTGATTTCCATAGAGGAGGGAAAACACAGAGCATGGGAGAACGGAGGAAGCAGAAGGAGTGGGAAGCCTAAACATGGAAAAAAAATGTGAAAAAGAATGGATGCGGGGAATTACATTTCACAAAGACCTTGGACTGTGCAAGGGGGACCCTGCACACTTTAAGAATTCTGAAGCATTTTTCTAAGTTCAGGGATAGATGTGCAGGTTTGTTACATAGGTAAAATTGTGTCAGGGGAGTTTGTTGTACAGATTATGTCAACATCCAGATATTAGGCATAACAGTATCCATTATTTTTCCTGATTCTCTCCCTCCTCTCATTCTCCACCCTCTACCCTGTGAAAAACCCCAGTGTGTGGTGTTTTCCTCTATGTGTCCACATGTTCTCATAACTTAGCTCCCACTTACAGCTGAGAACATATGGTATTTGGTTTTCTGTTCCTGTGTTAGTTTGCTAAAGATAATGACCTCCAGCTCCATTCATGTTCCTGCAAAGGACATGATCTCATTCTTTTTTATGGCTACATAGTACTCCAAGGTAAAGGGCTGGAGCATTTTTCTTGATGTCTTCTCTTGAGAACAAACTCTTTGCTGGGTCCCTGTGTGACTTCAAATCCTCAACGTCACATTTGTAGTTACAAAAACACTATGTTATCCCTTTCCTTGTCTGGGTAGTTTTAGAGTCTTTTATCGAGAGCTGAACTGAAAGACCATATTTGGAGGATACCACATGGCATCCAAACTGTATCCCAAACTGAACTTTTCTAAACTAGAGGTTCTGAATGGAACAGTTTGTAAATTTATCAATTGCATACAATGTTTTTTTAACATAAAACTTGCTTTGAATAAGACATTGTAGTGTAATGTTTGCAAGCATGAGTGATGGAGACAGTCATTACCCAAATTGCTTTGTCTCCCTGTGTTTCGGTTTCTTCATTGGTAAATGGGATAATACTAATGACCTCATATTATTGGAATGAAGGCAAAGGATATAGCAAGTAAAAACTTCTTTGGGAGGAACATGATGACATAGTCAGCAGAAATAGTGCTCAATGTCAGTATAAGGCAATTAGATCTATAACCTCTTATATCAGCCCTGCATAAACAATAATAATATATGTACCAATTATTATTGATATTAGTCATGAAATAATGATTTGAATTTGTACACTATTCTTACTTTTCAAAATGCTTTGATTTGATAGCAAATTTGGTCCCCAAGTTATCCTTTGCAGTAAACAAAATATGTAATCCCAATTTAACAGTGAAGACACTCTGGCCAGCTGAGTTCAGGTCACATTCACAGGAACTCACCCTTGGCTTTTGAGATCTGGATCAGCTCCAGCACCCTAGCTTTTTCCTTAATGCTCCCACTACAGCATCCCATGCCTTTCAGGAGTCTGATTTTGGTCAGCTCCAATAATCTTAAAAGTGCTGCCATCTTTCCTAACCCTCAAAACAACCTTTCCTTCCCTTATTTTCTGAGCCTTCATTCACAGGGATATTGTTATTTTGAATAAAAAGAACTATGTGACAATAATCTCCTATGCTTTGCTCTTCAAAGAGTTCAAACGTATTCTATGTTGTCAACCCACGATTATCACTTCCAGCTTTCTAATACATAATTAGGAGGTGAGGGGATATAAGTAGAGTCTCTATTCTCAACTCACTTATGTACAACAGCAGGGTATAAAAACTGATTTATAGATGTGGGTGAAACAGAACATATTCATATATGCATATATACTAGTTTTTATAAGACTGTATCATACAGTACTATATATAAAATAACATCTTATACAGTTTTTTAAAAATATTTGTATATGTATGTTATTATTATTATCATTAAAAACGAGGCTTCCTTATCTATGAAATGGAGATAATAGTAACTACTTCATGAAGCTGTTGTAAGGACTAAATGAATACACATTAAACAGAACAGTCTCTAGTATATAGTACACAATAAATGTTAGCTGTTATTATAATTATTTTATATATTATAAAAAGATTCCTTATTTGTAAACATTATTCACTACAGACTATCCTAAATACTTAGTTTCTTCAATGTATCAAATGTTTATATCTGTCAATACTTATTTTCTAACAACTTTCATAAAAATATTTTTCCATGAAGTGGCATATTATGTTCCTTAAAAGATACTTATAGTTTGTGGCAATAAATGCACCGTAAGTCAACCAACTTAAAGAAATAAAGGCAAACTGTAACTCAGAACCTATGAAACAATTGTTTTATACAATAGGGCCTTGTTCTAGTCCTCACTGCCTGTGTTATATATAAAAATATATTATTTATTTCCTTAAATTGATTCATCTTCATTTATGGCTGTTTAATTCAGCAGTTTTCAGAACAAATGGTATTTGGAAAGAATTCACTATGTTTACCTTGGTGCATTTGTATCTAAGTTCTAGTACAAAGGAAGCTGTCATTCCGAAGGACTTGTACCCCTTCAGCCCATAACGATGACAGTCCGAGTTGAAAGTGCTTCTCATCCAACACTAAAGAGCACGGTCAGGGCTGGATCAACTAATTTTCTCTCAAACACGTGCATCCAAAATGAGGACAAATAAACAGAGACAGCTCATTATACTGCTCCAGGGAAGGATGAGGTCTCAAAGTGCTTCTTTCTTTAGCCCTGATTTTTACTTCACTAATTTGAAAATAAATCCTTACTTTGAACCCTTCCAGTCTATACAGACTTTGGTATATTTAGAACAGAGTTTTGAGCAATGTTTTCCCAAGTGTGTTGCATAGGACACTGGTGTTACAAAATAGTGATAGGTTTTTTTCAAAAACACATACATGTGTACACACACACACACACACACACGCATACACACAAATCTATCAGGATTCCATGATTAAATAAAGTTGTTGGATATTGGGTTAAACAGAGTTTATCAGATTTTTTTTTTATTATGGGATTTCTCAGAGACCTAATGCTACTATGACTCTCTAAGAGGGTGCATGGTGAACATCTCTCAGACATATTTATCTATGGATTCTCCATTTCACAAACTTTCCTATACTAGTGTTTCACAAAACACACTTTGGGAAACTTTTCTAGAATACCGTATATTTGACATCTTTAGCCTGTATCCCTTTTCTCAATTCTGAACAGGATTTCTCTTTCTTTTTTGCATTTTTAATAAATTCAGTAATTTGCCCTTCTACAGCTGAAGGAATCCATCTAATATATCAGGTACATTTTCTATTCTTGAAATTAACCATTACAAATTTTTGGTTAATTGTTTTGAAATAACTTAATGATTTATTGACCTAAAAAATCAGTTGTGTTAATTCATAATTAAATATCAAATTAAAATATTCCAGAATCAAACTTCTACATAAGCCCATAAGTTTGCCTACACACTTATGTCAACCAAATGGCAGGAAGTTGAATTTATGATTGTCATATGAACTCTGATGAGCAGACGCCATTATATCTTCAGGAAACCACAGCAATCAACATTGATAACCTCTACATTGTCTTATAATTAAACTATGTTAATAAATAAGTAAAAATGAAAGCATATTTATTATTAAAAATCATATTAATCTGGTAGCAAGAAAGCTCTAAAGTTTAGGGGTAGCATTTTTCTTTAAAGTGCCTGATTCCTAAAGCATGCTAATATTAAAAAAAGAAGTAAACAGTCTTCAAAGGACTACACAGACTCTTAAATGCCAAGGAGCTATTGCTGATAACATTTCATTCCTCTCAAAACCTTGAGACTTAAATTTGGACTTGAGACATTATGATGTCTTAAATGTAAACATACTATGTATATTGATTTGAACTAAAGAAAACAATTTTTTTTAAATGCAGTAAGATTTGACAACCTCCATCTATCAAACTCTATGGATCTAAGCTTGTGGGGTAATTCCAAGGAATTTGAGTGCAAAACTGCATATAAACATACTGGGTACGTTCACTTCTCTTTGTTTCTGAAGTAAAAAACCCTGTATATTAAAAAGAGAAAAACTAAACTCATAAAATCAATTGATGAAGTTGGTCTCAGCATCCCATTACAATGAAAAGCTATGTTAAAACAAAAGAAAAGGTATTGCCTAAAATTACCAGTTTGATACAATGTTCCCTAAGCTGCTCCAGTGTTGTCTATTACAAATCAGCAAATTCAGCACCTCTTTTACATTAAACTTGATTCCAAGTGTTTCAGGGCCTCAAACTGGAATCCAGCTTCAGGTTTCTGACATTAAAACCTTAATACGACAGGAAAAATTCCCTTGGGCACATCAGGAATAATCAGATTTCATCTAAATTATTAAATTACAGACATTCAATTGTTTTCCAAAATCTTTATTTAGAAATTCTAAAGGCCCTTAGAAAACATGCTTAAGCCAAAGGCAAAGTTGGCAAGTGAAACCGTTTACCTGCGAAAGCAAAACAAAGAGGGGTCCTCACAATCCCACGAGGCACGTTGCAAAGTGGCACGCGATGTACCCCATCCCTATTGTGAGGCACAAATTCTTTGTAACACTGGGAGACACCGCAGAACAAAAATACTATTAGAAATGCTTCAAAAGGAACATTTTTGGTTGCGCTAGGGACTTTTGACATTATTTATTAGGTTCAAAAATGCTTCACAAAAGCCTAACAATGGTTCTGTGGAAACCAGTACATCTGAGGCCCTTTCTGTTGTTCTGAGCCGGCATTGATTTGAAGATGGGCAGCACTCGCCGAACAATTCCCTCGCAGCGGTCAATGTAAGTGAGCATTCACCACCGGCCTAGAAAGGGCCTGTGAACAAACCGTATGGAAACGCCGGGTTGGGCGGGGGGGTGCTGAGGAGCAAACCTTTATTAACCTCTTGGAAGGGAAATGGGTGGAAGCACCGGCCAGCAGAGGAAGGGGCGCTCCTGCCAGATTGCCATGGAGGGAGGTGTCCTCCCGAGGCCTCCTGTCCCGCGGGGGATGAGGATGCTTGGGGAGCATATCCGGTGCCATGGCAACCGCGCCTCTTCCGACGGGATATCCGGACGCGCCCAGGAGTTCGCTTTGGAAGTCGGGGTGTGCCCGAGCGCCTGCTGGGGCTGCCATCCTCTCCTCCGGCTTGAGCTCTGCGTTACTCGGGCCGGCGCTCTGCTGGGCGCAGGGGGTCTGGCTCGTTCTGCAGAGGCCGATAGCAGTGGAAGGTCTGGCGGCGGAACCTGGAAGGCAAAGCAGGGCAGGCATAAGGCTCAAGTGTGCGGGGTCACACCGCTCCCTGGGACAACTGGATGTCCGAGAAATCAACATTTGTAATGTGCTGGCGTGGGAGGGGGAAGAAAATCAAAACAAAACAAAAACCCTGACATGATCCTCACCTGCCTCCCCACATTTCTTCAAGAAAATAAAAATACTGTCTGTTCCTTTTTGTTCTTTGAAACCACCTCCCCACCGCACCACCTCCCCAATGCCTCAAAAACAAAAAATAGCTTTTGCGGAATCCTCAGAAAACTATATTTCAAGGAAAACTGTTCAAACCTTCTAAAGAGAGAGACACAGAAGAATCGGTGGCTAAAATAGGGCCCGAACTTTTAATGAGGGGAAAGTGTGTGAACGGAAAATTGTCAAGTGGAGTTATTAATAGATATACAAAAGCAAATGTGTCTCCAGGCCCTTTAGACTGACAACTGATGATTTTTTTAAATACAAAGAGGCCGTTACTTCATGAGTTTTATCGGAAGCTTCAAACCAGCTGAAGATTTAAACAAACAGTAAAATAGCCTAAGACTGGATCTACATAACACACCCATACCCGCTAATACTGTTTGATTTTTTTCTTTCTTTGCCCAACCAAATCATTTTCCATTCAAAAGATGCATTTTTTTACAACAAAGCCAAGACTGCTACATGTGTATGAATATATATATTCACATACATATATATTTTACCTACATTTTCATATATATATATAAACTTCCATGTTATATATGATATATTGCATATATGAACTTGAAGATGTATATATAAATACATAGATAAATCATGAAGCTTTACTTGAGAAATTCTGCCCATTGACCTATACAAAATCTAATTCTTCAGTAGTGACTTAAGATAATTTACGTGCTTTAAATCACTTTCTAGAAGCTTTCAAAAGGTTTTTAATAGCATGTAGATGTCTAGAATATTTGGAGCAACTCAGATCATTCTAAAATTCAAAAAATATGTAAAAGAATTAAAATGAATAGTACCTTCCTAACAGTGGCTGTCAAACAGCCAGTCTATCTTTAAGTGGTTCAGTTTAGTTCATCACACTCTGTTCTGTGTCTGGTATGTACTGAGCACCTCCCCCTGCACACTCCACATGCCCAAGTTAAACGATGAAATTTTTTGTGAATCTGAATTCTACAATGCAGGAATCACTTCCTGAAGTAAAGGTGGAATGGCATTTTAATATCTCCAGTGTGTTGCTTTGTGAACACGAGGTGCTTAATAGCTGTTGATTTGGATTTCTGGCGCTGTCAGATGAACCATGCACTGCCATCAATATTCAGTGTAAGAAGAATCCACCAGAGAACACTGATGTAGCTTTGGAGTTGGGAGCGACAGGGCATGACCTAGACAGGATGTGCTCTCCTATATCTTGAACCAAAAAATAGAATTTCTTTCCCTGAAAGCAATTTAATAATGATACATTTTGCAACAAACTGTCTTAAAGGGGCCGTGTGGTATAATGAAATAAAGCTTTGGGATCAGGACTTCATAGATTCAAATCTTGGCAGATTACCCGGCCTAAGTCTCTTTGTTCTCACCTGAAGGATGGGAATTATATTACCTACTTCACAGGGTTGCTAGTGAGATTAAGTTTGTGCATTCATTTATTAATATTTGAATGCCTGGTACATGTTTGGCAGTATTCTGGACCTTGAGGGGACAGAGGGAATATGGCAGGCAATAAAAAGTAGGGAAGAGAAGCAGACTAACAAGTGAATGAATAAATTTTAAGTGCCAGCTGGTAATAAATACTATGATGAAAAATAAACTGAGAAAGGAAGTTGAGAAAGACCTAAGTTGGTGACATTTCAAGTCAAAGACTTGAAACAAGAAAGGAAACTAAGTATCTGAGGAAAGAACCTGACAAAATGTTAAACATCAAGTACATAGAGAGTGCTCAGTAACCAAGAGTTACTATAGTCATGTTTAGAACCTTGATATAGAAATACTCTAACCTGGATTCTGCACTAAACCATGAGAAAATAATAGCTTCCATCTCAGAGGAGAGTCACGTGGATCAAAATTGAAGATGTACATTCCAATTTCAACATAATTGCCTTGTTCATAGTAAGACTCCAAAAGTGTTAACCAACCAGCATCTTCTGTTTCCCATCATCAAGCCCAGCCTCTCGGAAACAAAGGATTCTGACTCAGCCTTTCTGGAAGAAGGTCTCCCAGCCCCCTGCTTGAGCACTTCTAGCCCATGCAGTACATTCTCTCCTGGTTCAAAGAAAGTTCTCCTTTGTATTGAGTCAAAAATATATCTCTTTTCTCCTCTGGTCAATCCCAACAAACTATATAAACATGTGAAGGGGAACCTACCCCAAAAGGTCCCTATAAAGCAGGGGTGTCCAATCTTTTGGCTTCCCTGAGCCACACTGGAAGAAGAAAAAGTGCCTTGCTTTGGGACATGAATAAAATACACTAACACTAATGAGAAAAAAAACTGACAAATAATCTCATCTTTTCATAACGTTTATGAATTTATATTGGGTCACATACAAAGCCATCCTGGGCTGCATGAGGCCCACAGGCCATGAGTTGGACAAGCTTGCTATAAATGAAAAGACTACACAACATCAGTCTCTCCTTATTCTACATGACAGCTCCTAGAATATTTGGAGATCCACGTTTTTTCCTTACATTTTCTCTCCTCTAATCTGAACATCAGCACCAAAAGTACCACCACCATCATCATCACCACCACCATTAAGCCCTTACTATGTTCAAGAAATTTTATTTATATAAATCATTTAATCATAATATATCTTTGAAGTAAGAATTGTCATTTTTTAAGATGAAAAAACTGGGCTCCAAAAACATTTATGGGACTTGACGGTGGCTACAGAACTGAGATGGGAGAGTTGATATTTGAGCTCTGTTCTTTCTGGTTTCAATGCTTATCCCTTCTGGGCCATCTCCTTACTTTGAATCATTCCTCCTCTACCCTGTGCTATGAATTCACAAATTCCTTATCTGTAAAATGGGAATAATAATATGATCTGCCTGAATATTATATGAGGATTCAATAAAATAATACAAAATGCCTAGCACAATGTCTAGCACCTGGCGAAAGCTTAATAAATGGGGCTGGAATAGTGATGATAAAAATAGCTGTTATTGTCAGGTACAATAACCGAATCGGCAAATTACCTGTTACCAACTCACACCTGTTCTCTCCTCCAATATAATGCTTGGCAACAAGCAGACTTTCATTGAGGAATGGCTACTACAGTTCTCATGATACCTTCTAGAATAGAACTGACCATAAAGTCAATATGTTTTCTGTTTATATTGAAGTTTAAAACAAAATGTGACCAGTTGAAATAAGAAAAGTCAGTAATCACAACATGATACTTACTAGAATTTTTCTTGGGATGGCTCAAGTGCTGGCCCTTAGGTCTTGTGTGTCTATGCATTTGTATGCCCTCAGCCTCCAGGTGAACAGGATTTACCAAGTATGCCCAGTTAGGCTTTTTTACTGGTTCTTCCAAAAATGAACTGTTCCAAGCTTGTCTGGGTGTTCCTCTGGCTCTCCCCTCAGTTTCTCCTCTGGCAGTGAAAATCAGTGGAGCCTGGTCAGTTTCACTGGATGGTGCTGAAGAGGAACAGAGTTCTTCATAGCTTTCTTCATCAAAAGAAACTGTGCTTACAGAAGACCTGGGGACTATGTACTGGCAAGTAGAAAGTAGTCTTTTACGCTCCACTGAACTCTGGGTCCTTTCTGAAAATACTGTAAAAGGCAAACACGTTTGTTTGAAAAATGCACTCAATAACACCTGCTAAATTAACGGCAGGAAGGATGACGTCAGGTAATAAACGTAAACCTTTGATTGCTTGATTTGTGTTTCTACTCTAAGTAAATAAAAATGACAGACTGAGGCAGCTGAGTAGGAGAAGAGGAGGGGAGGGTCTGGAAAGGGAGGTAGAAGATTGGGGATGTTTGTGTTGAGTTCTAGTTACATTGCAGGCACTGTGTGAGGCCCCAGACATGTTTGCCACTGAATCCTTGCAAGAACCATATCTAGCAGATAGTATTATTATCTCTCTTGTGCAGGTCAGAAAGCTAGTTTTGAGGTTTATGGGTTGAACTGTGTTCACCCAGTCTCCTCCCCGCAAAATAAAAAGAGATATGTTAAAGTCCTAAACCCCCTCACCTGTGCATGTGACCTTATTTGGAAATAGGGTCTTCAAAGATGTAACCAAATTAAGATGAAGTCATTCTGGATTAGGGTAAGCCATAATCTAATAAGACTAGAGTCCTTATAAGAAAAGGAAACTGAGACACACAAGAGAACACCATGTGAAGACACAGACACATGTGCATGTTTGTGTACATGTGTGTGTTTGTGTGTACATGCAAATGTAGGATTGAGATTTGAGTGTTGAGATCTCTTTTGGGGAGAGGGGTGCTGTGAAAGGAATGAAAAGATACAAGATTCATTTGCCTTTATCTTATTACCCAAGCCAATTCTTTTTGAGATTCTTGCTTTCATATAAATAAAAATGAATTATGGTTTGTTTCTAAGTTAAGATATTCTTCACAGTGGTATGAATGCAAGCTCTGAAGCTTGGTGAGCTGGGTGTGACTCCTGATTCTACAAAATACTACATGTGTAGCTAGGACAAGAGTCTCTAGGTTTACTCTGCCTCAGTTTCTCATTTGTAAAATAGGAATAATCATATCGACCTCTAGGAATATTGCAACTATTAATTGTAGATTAGATAATGCACATAAAGTGCTTAGGGTAATAGATGGCACTTAGGAAACACTTAACAAATGTTGAAGATTATATAGTATACTAGAGTTTATATGGAAAAATGCTTAATTATAATGATACATACAATTATACAATTTTGATTTTTAAGAGGCAAAGAATAAAAACTGGAAGAAAATCAAATTAACAGTTGTTTCTCAGAGGTATAATTCAAACTCTGGGTAACGTCTGTGTAATATTCAAATTTTATGCACTGAATATGTATTACTCTTATAATTCAGAAATTATCTTTAATTAGACAATGCAGATACACTTCAGAGAGTCAATGTAGCTCAGCATTCCTTACCATTTATTTAATCAGATGACCTGTCACCTAACAGTAACATGGAATGAGATTAGTCGTGGAGAGAACAGGATGAGGAAGGATAAATATTTAGAGCCTTGGGATCTGATTGGGTGAGGTGTTGAGCAGACTTGTCTGGGCAAATAAAGGGCAATTTGCAGGAAGGCACTGGGCCTGAGGTAGCATGAACAAATGACCTAGCTTGCTATGGTATAAATTGTGTCCCCTAAAAGGTATGTTGAAGTCCTACCCTCCTATGCCTGTGAATGTAACCTTATTTTGAAATCAGGTCTTTGCAAATATAACTAGGCAAAAATGGTGGTCCTTAATCCAATATGACTGGTGTCCTAATAAGAAAGGAAAACAAAGACACAGACATGCAGGAAGAATTCCATGTGATAAGGGAGGCAGAGATTAGAGGGATGTACCTACAAGCCAAGGAGAACCAAGTATCACCAACAACCACCAAAAGCTAGGAAAGAGGCGCTGAACGGCTTTCTTCTTCAGAATCCCCAGAAAGAGGCAACCCTGCTAATACCTAAATTGGGACTTCTGGTCTCCAGAATTGTGAAAAAAATAAATTCATGTTGTTTTAAGCCAGGCAGTTTGTAGTACTTTCTTATAGCAGCCTTGGAAAACTAATTACCTAGTTCCAATTTATACATGTTGTCCCAGAGCACAGTTGACCCTTGAACAATACGAGGTGGAACTGGGCAGGTCCACATATATGGGAATTTTCTTCTGCCTCTGCCACCCCTGAGGCAGCAAGATCAACCCCTTCTCTTCCTTCTCCTCTTCAGCCTACTCATCATGCAGACAAAGATGAAGACCTTTATGATGAGCCACTTCCACTTAATGAATAGTAAATATTTTATTATCTTCTTAATAACATTTTCTTTTCTTTAGCTTACTTTATTGAAAAATACAGTATATAATAAATATATGTTAATCGACTATTTATGTTACCAATAAGCTTCCAGTCAACAGAAGACTACTAGTAGCTAAGTTTTGAGGGAGTCAAAAATTATAGGCAGATTTTCAACTGCATGAGGGGTCAGCACCCCTAATTTCTGCCTTGTTCAAGGGTCAACTGTAATTATTAATATCAGCCCTTTTCGCTCAAATAGAAAGTGTCTAGATTTGGGGGGTTAAAAAGAGGGAAAACCAGGAATTGGTAGGTATGAAATGGAAGAAGGAACAGGTTAGAGCTCTTGAGCTCTACCAGGTAGAAGCGACCGTGCTGGTGTGTAACGGCTTGTAGCAAGATACATATTCTGCACTGAGGGCAAAGAGGGTGCTGGCCACACCAGGTGCCCAGACACAGTCCTCTTGAGCTACAGCTTTGTCTGAGAGGGGAGACCAAAGCAAATGCTTTCAGAGGCCAGAAGGATGACAAATGAAAGAAGGGTCCAAGTGGAGATACCCTGGGGTGATATGTCCCGGGATAAGGGGTCAGAGACCTTCAGATCCTGTGTTTTATTGCCATGAGAGAATGTGGGTCCACTGTAGACAGTTGACATAGTTTGTATATTTGTACCCCACCCAAATCTCATGTTGAATCGCAATCCTCAATGTTGGAGGTGGACCCTGGTAGGAGGATGGTTTAGCACCATCCCTTTGGTGCTGTTCTTGTGATAGTGAGTGAGTTATCCTGAGATCTGGTCATTTAAAAGTGTGTGGCACCTCTTCCCCTCCTCCCCTTCTCCCCTACTCTCTCTTTCTCTCTCTCTCTCTCACTCTCTCTCTCTCTCACACACTCTCTCTCTCTCACTGTCTCACTCTCACTCACTCTCTCATTCACTCTCTCTCACCCTCACTCACTCTCTCACTCTCACTCTCTCTCTCTCTCTCTCTTTCTCTCTCTCTCTTGCTTGTTCCTACTTTTGCCATGGGACATGACTATTTCCCCTTCTCTGGAGCCAATTAAATCTCTTTCCTTTGTAAATGACCCAGTCTCAGGTATTTCTTTACAGCAATGCATAATAGTCTTTCTGGATTTTCAGGAAAAGTAGAAATAAATATTTTTATGCATATGAAAAACTCCTGAGTTTTAAATGTTGGTAACATTTCAGCTTTTTTTAAATGTAGTGTGAGATACACAAAGCATGACTGCTTTTGGAATCATCACAGGCCACCAATTTGTGTCTTTCGCCTATGCCAGCCTTGTAAAGGCCACACTATCAATTACCTCCTTTCATAGAATCTTCACCCCAGAACATGATTTTATAAATATTCAGCTTAGAACAGTGGGAATGCATTTGCAAACCCTCTGCACAAGCCGATTTTAGAACTCTAGAAATCTGGTCTACCTCCAACACGTTAGGCTTTTCATTTTCATTTTAATTGCTTGCCTCATTTCATCTTAAAAAATGTCTACCAGAATTTGAAATGGTAGACAAATTTAGCAGGCCTTCTCAAATGCAGAGAAACATTTAGAATTTTTCAAAACAGTAGCACTGGATCTCTCGATCTTAAAGGAAAACAAACAACACTAGAACCAATAGCATTCTATCTGCCCTTGTTCTGTTGTTCAAATATCAAGAACAAGATGGAAGGCCTGAGGCACTTTATACCTTTTTGCGTTCCAGGAGTTATGGGTTAAAAGAGATCTTAAAGGACATCTGAGGCTGAGCCTCCACCAACTTCAATATCCACCTCTGTTTAAATACCTTCATGAAACTGGATCTTATGATCTGTGCATCAAGAATTTCACTGCTTCTCAGAAGAGAAAGTAACTTTGAATCTGCAATATTAACAGGCACTGTGTGTGTGTGCATGCGTGTCTGTGTGTGTGTGTGTTTGTGTGTATTCCCTATACTTAAGTATAGGGAATAATTGTTAAAGCCACTAGGTATGACGTTGGGACAGGTGAAGACTGTGCTTATTTATTTAGTTTTTCAAGCAATATTTATAGCTTCTACCATATACTAGGTACTACCCAGTGATTATATGATTACCCAGGCCAATAGAATGGATCACTTTGAGACTAAGTTGACCAGCTGATTTATTGCAAAATGAACTTCAGCACAGCAAACCAGAGGCTTCTGGTCTCTCAGACTCCTGAATGAACTTGGGGTTACCTCTATGATACAACTGCAACTACCAGGTTCCCCAAGTGGCTAGAGCAACCAATTATTTTGGCATTAAACAACCAGAAACAGAGACTGTTGGAAATGGAAAGTCCTTTTGCGATCTCCAATGGCTTTTATTAATAGTATTCTTTATAATTTTTCAAATCTACCATTCTAGATAGTGATAGAACTTGAGCCCAAATCCATACCCCATGACTTAAGGTCCGGTGCTTTTCGTTACGTGACACATCGGTTGCATCGAATACAGTATTTCTCAATGCTTGTTGCATATCAGACAATACCTGACATGCTTTAACAAATACAAACACATGCTCCCACCCTTGACCAATCAGTGAGAGTGGGACCCCAGTATCTGTTCATGGTAAGTCCTTCTGTGTTGAAAACGTATTATAAGGGCAGGGAGCTACCGATCTCAGTCACTCATCAGAGATTTCAGGTGCTGTTGTTTTTATTCAGTGAAACGATCATGAACATACTACAGCTATACAATCGGTAAAGTCTTTCTCCTCTGGCATCTTTCTATAGATGATCCTCATTTCAGAAACCTGCATTATTTGCTCCTTAACTTGCATGTTCCTTT